GGTCCCCGCACTAGGCAAAATGCTTAGCCGGGTAATACAGGAGCAGCTGCTGAAGGTGTTGGGTGTTGGGTGTTTCATGAGACGACCGGCCCAGGAAGTCATTCCCATTCCCGAGTCGCGCCTGGTTTGGAGGCCCTGGCAGGAGGGAAGCATACTCAAAAGAATCATTGCTACTCAAGGTCCACCCAGTGGCCTGACTTCTTCACCGGTCTCTCCCTGGCGCGCTGTGACTGATCACATGCTTGGGGAAAGAAAGAAATAGCAATGGCCTCCAACCTAGTAGCAATGGCCTCCAACCTACTTCTCAAGTTTCCACAGATTGAGCCTCTGCCATGCTTGCGTTCCCCTCTGCGGCTCTTGGGCCAAGCTCCGGCGGTTTGAAGGGTCCAAGCGAATCGTCAAGTCGAGCCGAAAATATTCCAGTACTGTAGCTTCTTGTTACTACTAGTAAGGCACTTGTTACTAGAAGCGAGGCACTTGTTCCTAGTAGTAAGGCACTTGTTACTACAAATGCCAGAGAGCCTGTTGACCTGAAAGGATGAGATGACAATGTGAACCATTCAACCTACACTCTGCCAGCCCCTTGGCTTAAGCCTTAGCACGTGCAACCCCTTAGTTCAGTTGCGCTCCGCTTCTGCACTTTGGTGCTTCTTTTGCTCCGCTTCTGACGCGATCTAGATCTAGGCTCCATCTCATCTCCTGAGTCGCTTTTTGTCCTTGGAAGGGCTCCTGCTGCGGCCTCTTCTGCGGAGTCTATTTTGCTCCTCGTACGCATTTCGCCTCTGTTGACCCTCATATTCATTGAGCAGAGACATAAAGAAACCATTGAAGTTCTGAATCTTCTGCTTCATTTTTTCAACCCTTTGCCTGACATACTGTTGTGCCACTAGGGGTGCTCTCTGTAGTCTGCTCCATGCTCTATCATCAAGCATGGGCCTGTAGTTGCGCATCCACCGTTGCAGATCTGAACAGGTGTCCAGCTGGATGTTTCTGGCTCTTGGCCTGCGTCGATCTGTCAGATCCAAGTCAAAGGTGACACACTGGTTGGTCTTCAGATCCTGCCTTTCGTCATCAAACGTTGGCATTGGATTTATCCTCGATCCTTCATGCGTACATTCAATCTTGCCAGTATACCCTCTTCCACTTCGTCTTGAGGAATGTACAATGCCTACCGTCCGCACCCGTGGCGAAGGCACAGCAACCGACGAAGCGCGCGGCGCGGCTGGAGGATTTGGCACGGAATGGGATGCAGGTTGTGGCATTTCTGGGAGGTCGCTGTTGCTATCCTGCTCAGCAATGATGTTGGGATATGAATCCAAAATGCGCTGCCTCTCGGCTGCAAACTTGGGGCAGTTCCACTTCGATCCATCACATGTATCTTCACATTGCTTCACTCTCTCAAAGTCACATCGCCACTCTTTGTAAGTATGAGCACTGAAGCAGTTTCTGTTGAGCAGCTCACCACAGCGCCACTGTTTCCTTTTGGCATCCTCAACATCTCTGGGCATGTTGTTCTCTTGGTAGAGATGCGAACATAGGCTGGTCTTGTTCTGGGAATCCGCCACGGGTATCTCAACAGCTTCCTCCTGCCCAACCTCTGCAAAAGGGTTTGGGGTTCTTACTCCATCAGGGTCAACCTCTTCCTGATCGCTCTCGTCCGTCGCCCCGACCCAACCACGAATTACATCATTCAGCAATTTTTTGCGTCTTGGATTAACATCCTTTGGGCTCCACTTGGCATGCACAGCAAGGCATTTGGATAGTTCAAAATGAGAGGCTGCATAGACATGCTTCTTTTGAGCAAATGGGTCATTACGAACCTTTTGATTTTCCTGCTGCGTAAGCAGGCAATAGTTCCCAAGGTTGTCCACCAAGTCTCTGTGCTCACTCTCACTCCAACGGTCCTGGTCTCCGTGGGGGCGCTGAGGGTGTATGTGTTCTACAGTGATATTGGAATACCTTCGATCAATGCAAGTGAATTGTTCTGTACAACCACCGTGAAGATTTCGCGGCCATCGGTCTGAAAGCTTCATGTAGAGCAAATGTTCGTCTTTTTCTTGACACTCGGCCTTGAGCAGGACATATGTGGCCCTTCTTTTGTACTCTCTCTCTTCAAGAGTCGTATTGAAAGCTACAGTCTCACCAAAGCATTCCTCCAGTTTTTTTCGGAGCTTTCGGCGGCGATGTTGAAATTTCTCCTCCATCCAATCGAGGATTTTTGTGGGATTGTCCTCTTTGTAGATGACGCCGATGAGCTCTCTGTAATGGTTCATGTAGCGGCAAAACATTTGTTCCAAACCAGTCTTTGACAGGGCTGAATGCCCAAACATTGCCTTTCCATTCCCACGCGTGCAGAAGGCATTGTAGGCTACAAAGCCCTTCTCAAGCAAGTCAAAAAAACTCTGCCGCAGCATTCAAGTGGTCACTGCTTTGCATGCAGCGAAACTTTACCACAAAAAAGAATGCAGGAGCGACCCAATCCATATCCAAGCCCGTGTGCGCAACATGTTTGAGCAAGGTCACTGTATTTTGAATGCGCTTGCTGCTTGTCTGGCCCAAGTATCGTCCTTGCGCCCACCTGTGATCATCCACCCTCAGGAAACCTAAGAAGCACACCACTGAGTCTGTGTTCATCCATTTGCTGAAGAACAAATCCAGTGCGTTCTCGTCCACCTTGGTTGGATTCTCCACGTCGAAAAGCTTGAACCTTCGTTTCTTCGTTGCACTATCGACCAGGACCTGATCTTCGAGAATGAAGCGTCGCTGTATATGCTCAATCAAGGTGCACTGGTAAGGCTCCTGATGTTCGAAGTGTTCATATTTCTCTGACTTAAGAAAGTCTTTCATACTGTCTTTATCCAATCTTCCTGGGGGCCGCGCGGTAAGCTCGACAATGACATGCATGTAGTATACGAACAAGTCAAATTCATCTTTTGTTGTTGCCAGAAATTCCGAGGCACAGTTCTCCCATTGCGCATCATATTTGTCCTGGTGTTCGGTTGTCTCCACTTGAAGCATGGCTTTCAAAATCTCCATCTGAGTGGCTGCTTCAGCATGATCCCGCTGGTTGTTGATCGATCTGTACATCTGCACAGCTTTCGACCATGAAGCAGTATCAATATGCGCAACTTCCAGTTTCTCAAGCATGAACTCTGCAAAATCTTCAACTTCCCTTTTGACATCGAACTTTTTGTCTTTGTTCAAATACTTGTCCCTGTAATAGTTCAATATCATCGGATGGTGGTCAGCAGAGTCCAAGCTCAAAGAATGGACGAAGTCTCGGTCGTGCTCATTACCAAAATGATTGCACATGAAGAACAAAGCAGCTCTGAAAACGTTTACCATTTTCTGTTCTTGATCATCCGGCCTTTCATGGCAAAGGAGTTCCTTGAGTTCTTTCCAATCGTTCATATCAAATATCTTCTTTGCAAAGAACTCATGAAAAAAACCCTCCACGCTGCTCTCAGGAGGGAATTTCAATCGTTCTTCCACCATTGCAACAGTCATATTGTGGCCAAATGTTTTCTCGTTTGCTGCAATCCAAACAAAATTGTCATCTCGGCCCTTGATGTCAAAATCATCCACGTGGTGACTGCACCAGAAGTACATCGCTCTAAAGAAGATCCAAAGTGTCACCAATCGCTGTTGTCCATCGACCACATATCGTGGTACATGCGGCGAGTCCCTCTTCGATATTGGCTCTTGGTAGGTTATGATAGACCCAAGGTGATACTCATCATTCCCCTGCGCGCACTTCATGCTATCAAACTGGTCATGGCAATCAAGCCACAAACGAAGAGCCATCTCCATCTTCCATCTGTAGCCCCTCTGAAAAGGTGCGATGATGTAGAAGCCTTCCTGCAGAAAACTCCCATAGCGTTTCAACCCCTGAGTGGTCATGGCTGGAAATGTCGAGAAAATGTGTCTGGAAAGTATTTTTCTGGTTGCGATGCCTTTGATACTAGTAGCGATGCCCTTGTTACTAGTAGTTTCTTGCTACTAGTAGCAATGGCCTCCAACCTACTAGTTTCTTGCTACTAGTAGTAATGCCTTTGTTACTAATGGCGAGTCTATCGTGCAAATTTCATTGCAAATCAACCATCCTTGCGTGATCATGGTGTCTTAGATTGACTGTTCACTGCCGTGGCTCTGCTGGATTGTATGTTCATCAGATGAATGAAAACCACAGCCAGCACTGTCAAGTCCGCCAACAAAAACGGATGCGGAGACATACCATCAAAATACAACTGCTGGATTTGATTTCTTGCTTCCTGTTCCTTTCCACACATAAGGTTCGCCCACAGTAAGTGGAAGTGCGGCAAGACCCCACTCCATTGGAAAACAACATTGGCTTGCAATCCTCACAACTACGTTTTTTCGCACATATCCAAGCAAAATCCACACCTGGCCCTCTTTAGGGCATTGAATAAAAATTGGGTGATGTTATACTTTTGAATTTGGTGCGTTTGGGGTGGTTTTCCTCAACCAGTGTGGTTAAACTAGGAGTTCTTATGGTAAGTTGCCTCGAGATTCCGTTTTTGAAGGACATTTCGCAAGAAAAACTCTCTGAAGAGATGGTTCTCGACTGCGTTCTCATTGCAGTGCCGACATGGCGGTCACTCTTCATGGCAGGTGGCAGGCGTAAGGGAACTCTCGTGTTTTGGTGGTCTGAAGACGATCATTCGTGGTCTGAAGGTGATCGGAACGGTTTTACTTTGATGTTCAGTTTTCGTGGCAAGCCTAGCACTTTTGACTTGGTGATGGTCTTTGGCGTGCTCTGGTTTTGTGGGAGGCGCAGTGAATCGTGAACTTTGAAAATTGTCCATTTCTGGGTGTTGGGAGAAATATCACGCGACAGTTTATCGAGTCTTTGAATTTTGTTGCGAAACCGCACTGGCATGGCTGCGCGATTTGAACTCTTGGCAAACGTAGCGCTTTGTGGACAGCCAAGCGCAAATTCGTGGCAGACACAGCATTTTGTCAACCTTGAAGTGCGGCGCAGCGCCTTGCAAATCTCCAAGAAATGCGAGTTCTTGCAGCAGGCACAGCACTTTGTCGTCCTCCTAGTGCAGCTGCGTACCAATTGCAACACTGTGTGACTTTGTGAACCTCGACGCGCATGTTCCTTTTCACGTTCCCATCTGTCTGTGTGTGTGTCACCCCCTGTTTCCAAGGGTACCGTTGGTCAACAGATGTTCGCAGCAGGGGAGTGGTGCGCGGTCTTGGAGTCACCACTCAACGAAGACACTCCTTGTACCGCGGTGAAATCCAGAAGGGACGCCTTCCGGACGTACCTGCGCCAGTTCTGACCAAGCTGTGACTCCAATCTTTCGTTGTTTGATTCCATGGTCCTTGCATGATAGACCCCAAAACCTTTTTTCTCACCGCAGGCTTGCAGCAGACTTGCAACCACACTGACTGTCAGAGTGCAAACATTGTTCAACCATACAGTTCTTGCCGACCTTTTCGCCTTTCTTTTCCCTCGCCTTCCTTCTCATCGTGGAAACTGAGTTAACTGAAAACCAATGTCGAAGTGTGTGTGTGTGTGTGTCAACTCCGGTCTCCAAGGATTTTAACCTTTGTACAGCGCAGGGGGCCAGCGGTCGACAAGCAAACGCTGGCTAACAAAGCTATGCTTGTTCGGTGGATGCACAGTCTGATCACCTGTGTGTACCTGCTGCTTCCTTCGTCTCACCCATATTAAAAAATACTGTTGGTGCGCACTCCTCCACCCATGCACTTTTTCCCCTCCCGCGGACCCAAAAAGAGCATGCGCCGAATGACGGCTTACTGTGTGCGTCAACTCCTGTCTCCAAGGATTTTAACTTTTGTACAGCGCACGGGGGCCAGCGGCAGACAAGCAAACGCTGGCTAACAAAGCTATGCTTGTTCGGTGGATGCACTGTCCGATCACCTGTGTGTCCTGCTAATTCAACCGACCGTAACGGGCTAATGAGCTTCCTTCGTCTCAAACATGTTAAACAATACAGTTGACGCGGACTCCTCCACCCTGTGGTTCACCAGCCAAGGTCTAACTGCGCGTAAAGGTCTACCTGCACTAAAGGGGAACTTCTCCAACTGATTTAGCAAGTGTGTGTGTGTGTGTGCAGCAGTACCACACGGCAAGAAAGGTTGCATGTGAATAGTAGGTGGAGGAGGGTGGAGGAGCTGCAGCCATCCACACGTCGGCTCGTCAACGACAACTAGGAGCAAGGATGGCTGCTGGCCTTACCACTAGAAGCAAGAAGCTACTAGGGCTCCTGGCCGTACTAGTAGGAGCAAGGGCACTACTAGGGGCTCCTACCCTTACTACTAGAAGAAAGATGCTGCTAGGGGCCGTACTACTAGGAGTAAGGACGCTATTAGGGGCTCCTGGCCTTACTACTAGAAGGAAGCTACTATACACACTCCTGGCCGCACTACTAGGAGCAAGGACGCTGCTAGGGGCTGTTGGCCGTGCTGCTAGGAGATACACTGGCCGTGCTCGGATGCCGGAGCCAAGAACTGGACAAGCACAGCGATTTGGGCGCCACATTGTCACGACCTGGAAAGCGCAATGATTTGGATGGAAAAGAAGATTGGGCCTTCACACGTCAAGTGTTAGTGTACCTTGACAGCGTGCGCAAAAACACAGGCACAGACGCAAAAGACGCAAGTGTACCGTACCAAGGAGACACACACACTCTTCAACAGCAAGCAGCAGATGCAATGGGCAATGATGCTTGAGAACAAGGTGAAGGCGATATGTTAAACCAATATTTCTGGCATGGGGATGTGTACAAAACCAAACAGTTGAGACAGTAGATGGACAAATTAATCAAACTCTAGACCACCATGGTCCATCACCGCCCCCGCACCCCCGATTTCAATGTTGTCTCAGTAAAAAGATGTTTTGTTGTCAGGGGTCGTCCACTCAAGCCAACCTCCTTCACCAACAGGCCAACATTGAACTATGGGGGGTAAGGGGGTGAATTCTGCAAGGGTTTGAATAATTCGTCCACCTACGGTAGTGGTTTTTGACGTGCTGGGAGAAACAAATGACACGTTCACGTCATTTGTTTCTCCCAACATGTCTAAACCCAGTACTGTCTCAATTCTTTGGTTTTGTACACATCCCCATGCCAGAAATATTGGCTTAACATATCGCCTTCACCTTGTTCTCAAACATCATTGCCCATTGCATCTGCTGCTTGCTGTTGAAGAGTGTGTGTGTGTGTCTCCTTGGTACGGTACACTTGTGTCTTTTGCGTCTGTGCCTGTGTCTTTGCACACGCTGTCAAGGTACACTAACACTTGACGTATGAAGGCCCAATTTTCCACCCAAATCATTGCGCTTTCCAGGTCGTGACAATGTGGCGCCCAAATCGCTGTGCTTGTCCAGTTCTTAACTC